CATTATTGCTTACGGATTTCTATCCAATAGAGGCTTGCTTGCATCAACGTACGGCTGTACCACATACCAGTGAGATGTGACACAATTAATAGCTCACAATCTCCATTTCTTTGCCAGTTCAATTCCCTCAGCTAGTGTTCCCACTCTGGCATCAATGGCATAACCCTCTTTTTCAAGCTTCTTCATCTCGTCGAACAACGAGTTCAAAGGAACAGTAAAGCATTCAATAAACTCGTTATCTTCTAGCTCAGGTTTTGGGTTCTTGTTCTCGGGAAGAGACATATCAACCCGGACGTGGACCATATGCAGGTTGGTATTGCAAAGTCCTGGGTCTGGTGTGGTCATGTATGTTCGTCAGCTTTCAGCACCCAGAAAGGCCAAATAACACAACCAAAAGAGACAAAATCTGGAAGCCGCTTCGCACATACCGTTATACATCAATGGACTAATCTGCTCCGCCACACCAACGTAACCAGTTTCTTCTTTGAGTTCTCGAACAGCACATTGCTCAGGCGTCTCACCCGCATCGATGAGTCCCGCAGGAACCTCAATTACAACTGCATCAATTGGCGGCCGGTATTGCTTCTGCAGAAGCAGCTCCGAGCCATTATCTTTTTTCAGAATTGCAACGATCCCAACACCATCGAGATCAATACCGGCAGGACGAGTCTAGAAAAAAAAAAGTTAGCATCAAATCCGCAAAGTAAAAATCCAAAAGCAACGGGCCTAAAAAGGTTGCTTGAATTAGGTGCCAATGGAGATCGTCCAATGCGTCCAATGCACAGTGCAAGGCAACCAGTGGTCATGTGGTTTTGGTTGATACGGCATCGGGCAACACCCCGGGTTTAAGCCACCTGGAGCAGAGGTTCCCCGAGACTGGGGAGCTTCACTAATGCTGACCACCATTTCCTGATTTAGATGAGGCTGGTGCCCAGGCTATCACGTAGGTGGCTCTCGTGGTAGTCCCACGAGCGTGTGTCACTTGGATACCTGCACTATGGGTGATGCATACATCCTGGACATTGACCAACAGCGCGCATAACAAGAATCAGCACAGAAAAAGGTGGAATAAACCTTACCGTGCGCTCAGCTGATTCCCATGTTCGCTCGACACCCAGGGGGTCGGTGTATGTTGTCTTGACCATTCGAGCCCAGCGGGCTTCGTTGGGGTCCTGTTTGGTCCAACGCGTCAGTCATGCACTAGCGCCGTTTTGGTGGTATCATCCCAACTCTATAATGTACATAGCAGACAGGGAGTTTACCGCTGGAGAGATACTTGGGGAGATTGTATTAACGTATTAACGTACCAATAGTCCCCGTGAAATGAGTTTCGACTTGGCCTGCATGCGAGCTGACATTCTCATGGGTTGCCAGTGGTTTAGATTGAAAGAATAGTGAGAGAGATGGTATTCAGTCTACAAATGAAGCTGTAGATGAGACTGGAGATCTCTGGATACGTTGTAAAAGAGAGAAGCTATCTACAGGTTAGCTAGACTAAGTGTCAGAATACCAGGTGCAATACATGGTGGAAACCACATGTGACCTCGGTGGACTCGGCTATCCCACAACAAAAGTACGAAGATTAGTAATCCAGATCCCACACAGATTGCATAAATAACTAGGGATTTTTGTCATTCTTAGTTAGTCAGAGAATTTGATACCTGTCATTTCAACCAATACATTTCATACAGTCAGATTTCTGTCACATTGTTTTGCCGAGGGGTTTTGTAAGACCATCGGCAGCCATTTTGACATTAATTGAAAGATTGAAAGATATCTTTGAAGCTTGCCCTTGTCAGACGTGTCAAAGTGCTTAGAAATGGTATCTTCAAACTGCTAAATCATGGTCTCTAACGGAGATAGGACTAGCAAGTCATCAACGTATACCATATCGTAGAGAGGTGGAATCTCATACTCTCTTTTGATAAATATAGAGTGATCTAACTGAGTTCGTGTAAAACCCAATAATATCAAGACATCGTTGAGAAGTAAATACCACTCCCGAGGGCTTTGTTTCAGTCTATAGATCGTCTTCATAAGTAATCCAATGTGATTAGGATACTCATCTCGTTGACCTTCTAGAAGTTCAATCTCAATTAGCTCCTTCAATTCAGCATAAAGAAAAGCAGTGACAATATCTACATAATGTAGATACCAGCCCTTGGTTGCAGCGATTACAGTGAAGATTTTGAATGACGTAGGCTTAGCAACGATAGTATAGACTTCGTAGAAATCTAGATCTTTGATCTGTCTAAAACCTCGAGCCACAAGTCGTGCTTTATAGGTGCTATCATACTTGATTTTGAACACCCAGCGAAGTGTAAGGGGCTTCTTGCTTTTCGAACGAGGTATAACCTTCCAGGTACCATTTACCAAGTGACGATATAGCTCTTTGTGAGCAGCAACTAGCCATTTGTCCTTTTTAACACAGGATATAGCTTGTGCCCATCCATTAGGTTTAAAGCCCACGTCATTAGGTGTTAATTTCGAGGTAGCAAACTCTGTAGTAGTGACATTGGTGACAAGACTGACTAAGATGTCGGGTTGTTCTGCTAAGAGTTGTAGGAAGTTGGAATCAAAGAATGACTTGCTAGCTAAGCTATCAATACAAGCCTTGCTAGGCTTCTTGATTCTTGTTGAACGTCGTAACTACCCGCTTTCGGGCTGAATTGGTTAAGTTGAGACGTAGTTCCTATCTTGAATTCTGTCGTCAGGCATAGGATCTAAATGAGAGAAATCGTATTCGAACGATGCCTGATCGAGCTATGAAGGAAGTTGATCATGTTGAAATGGTGCTTGATGAACATTCATGTCCGTGGGAATATCCTCATTAACAACCTGCCGGGAAGCAGGTTGTGACTCGACGAGAGTCCCTCGCCCACCTACTTCAAAGTGGGCACCAGTATCCTCCCGTTGTGCCTCCATAAACCTACCAAAGCTACTCGCCATTTTATCATCGGTTGGTAACAAAAATGTATCAGGATCTGGAAGGATCTCCGGAGCTTGTTCTTCGAGAATGAAAGGATGGATGTGATCGAGAGGAAGGTTCGTAGGTATGTCAAGATGTTTTTCAGGATTATCTTCAACAGTCGGCAGCGGAGTACTGAAACGATATCGGAAGGGTGAGGAAGGACGGGGTTGAACTTGTTTCTTGTTACCGAAACCTGTATTGTCATAGCACTGTGTAGGCACCGTGTGGTAGTCATATTCATTAAGAAAATCGACTGGAATGTGACGATCAGTTATGATTGAAGAACCTTGATCCTGTGCTTGGGTGCTTGAATTGGAATTGTTCGACTGCTTGTTGTAGCCTTTCTTAGCATCTTTCTTCTTGTCGAAGTTAGAGCTAGAAGAGTTGGTGTCCTTTGAATTAGACGATGTGGTATGAACCGAAGGAATCGAGTTATACCCAATAGCAATCTTTGATGATCCTTCTGTAAGATTGAATTCACGGTATATCTCTACCATGAAGTTTGGATCTTTGAGGTTGGGTTTCAAGGCTTGAATGAAGACTTTACAACGGGGATTGTTCTGAATTGAACGAATGAAGAAGTTGAGAGTGGTATTGGCATCAAGGCTTGAACCACGTTGATAGATCTCGAACAGTGCTTCTTTGAAGCGACGTACGAAGTCCTGGGGATTGTTACCTTTGTATTGGAGGGCACAAAGGATTTTAAATCGCTTGAAATTGGGTTGCCAGGATGGAGTACCGTATTCAGCTTGGAGGATCTTGTATGCTTCTCTAGCATTCTCCACTTTGTCGACAAGAGAGGCAGGAATAGGGTCAAGAGTACTAAACATCAGATTACATGCACGGGTGTTACATGTATCCCACTTGTCCATCTCCTTTTGCCAGTCGGCGCGTAGCCGAGTGTTTTCATACTGACGTTCCTTTGCTAGTTCACGAATGACTAGATCGGTGACAAGATCAGCATTCCCACCAACCTTGATGATAGCAAGCTGTCGTATAGCTTCTTCTGTGATATCAAGGAAGTCAGGCCGGGAAGGACGAGTATGTTCCTCTTGAATGACACGAATGTATGCCTTATTGTTCTCCTTCAAAGCCATGTAAAAACGGTGTTCCCAGTTAGCCCTGTTGACTTCTCCTTTGAGCTTTGGGACGATTTTATCAATATCAGATTCATTTCGACTGTCGAAATTGAATTCGAATGTTGTCTGTTGTGTGCGAGAAGATGACCGACGGCGAGATGCTGGCGGCGAGCCTTCTGGTGTATCAGACATACTTGGTAGTACAACAGTCTACCCTATAAAGATTCACCACCTCCACAGTGGCGGTGTAGAGATCTGCAA